GAGGCCGAACCGCGCAGCAGCTCAGTGGCCTGCCCCAGAAATTCACTGCAGCCTGTCCTTGGCCTGACCTTGCCTTTGGCTGGGGACAGGGACAAGGGATGCTGTTCTGTGCATTGGATAAAATAAATCCCTCTTTTGGGGAGAGGCGACGGGAACTGCTGGAGCTGCTGCTGGACCGCTCCTGCTCGTGGTGTTGGTTATCCACAGGGATTTTTCTTGTCACAGAAAGAAGGTAGCAGTGTGTTTGTTAGAAGTGCAAAGATTTAATTATTTCACTGTGGTTCCATAAAAGGATAAATCCCCCATGAAGTCAGTATCTACTTGGAATAACTGAATCCTGAGGAAAAGTTATTAGCAAGCTAAAAAAACCCACATGGTGTCAAAACCCAAATGTCATTGTGAGAAACGGGCAGCAGAACTTCAGAGTTCACGGGTAAATCAGCTGTGGGTTTCCCTGGGTCGGCAGGAAAGGAAGAGCATTAAACTGCCCGGTCACTGGGCTCCCAGAATTGCGGCGTGATGTGGTTCTACGTACGCAGTTCAGTAAACATATTTAGCCCCTTTTAACCAGCAGTTTGGAGTAAAATGGATTTTCATTAGCTAGAGTCTTCCTGATTTCCAAGTTTTATCGTGAGAGTTCCCCCGCTCCAGGAAAAACAGCGTCCGATCAGGGCCGCGCGCAGCACGGGGGAGTTCCTCCTCGCGCGGAGAAGCTGGGGTCACGTCACCACCTCGGCCGCCGCGCCGGCTGAACCACCTCCGTGGTGGCTCTTCAGCAGCTCCTGCCCTCTCAGCTCCGAGATGGGGTTCCCCAAAGTGGCCTGCTCGCTGCGCTCTGCGCGGGGGTGGCCCCACGGGTGGCCTTGTGGGAAGGCTCGTGGGAGGAGGGTGGGGGATGTTTTGGGGTGAGACTTCTCCCGTTAGCTTGGGGCCCTTGTCCCCTGCGACAGCTGCCTCCCTGCAGAGGGGACGTGGCCTGGGACGGGGGGTGGTGCCTTCTGGGGACGGCAGAGGCGCGTGGCAGCTGGGACTCCCCGGCCGCCTCCGCAGGGACCGACTGACGCTCTGACTCCTCTCCTTGCCAGACGAGGTCCAAGCCATCGCCAGCATGATGGAGAAGCAGGCCAAGATTGTGGTGAAGCCAAAGGAGGTCTCCCAGGAAGAGAAGCAGAGGAAAGCGGCCCTCCTGGCCCAGTACGCCAACGTGACGGATGAGGAGGAATATCCTTTTGCTCACCCAGCTGGGTCAGAGCGCTTTGAAGGGCAACGTTTATTAAAAATCTAAAACAACGCCTTTCCAGCTTTGCAGCGTCTAGTGGGGAGAACTGGGGAAGCTTTTCAGTCTTCCTTCTCCACGATAAAATAACTTATGTGGAAAATAGCATGGAAGCTGCTTGCTGGTGGAGTGCCACGAGCAGACGCTGCTGTGAGGATGTCTCCGCCGCCTCCACGCTCCCCACCAGCCCGGGCTGGGTAAGGTTTGCCCCATCCAGGTGTGTGGCAGGAGAGGAGCGAGTCACCTCCGGGTAACTCTGCACGGTGGTTGGTGTATTGAATTTATCTCTCGCTTTCTGATGAGAAACCTGCTGAAAAGATCCTGTTCAGAGAGAGTGTGCGTGGAGGGGAGAGCTTAGAGCTGACTCTTCGTAGCACTGAAGACCGGGTTCTTCCTGGAAGAGCAAGGCGGAGTAGGAAGGAGTCGTACCTGGCACTCGCGCAGCAGGAGGGAGCTGAACGTGGGAGTTTGTGCTTGCCTGGCCCTTGTCTGCCTGAGTGTTCAGCTCCTTCCTCGTGGCTCAATGAAATTGTTAATTGACATGTTTGGAGTTAGGTGTGACTGTACAGAGGCACAAGTTCATTACTGATGTCCTTATTTCCTTAATTCTCTCACTGGCGAGGATGAACAGAATGGATCGACTGCGGCAGCAGTAAATATTGGATCAGAAAAATGTATCCTTTGAGTTCTGAGTGACCCGGGCTTTTTGGAAGCTTCCACGGTGAGTTCCCCATCCTTCCTTATCTGTGTGGATACTCCCTTTCCTGAGGGCCACCTCTTAAGTTTGGTGATGCGTTTTTCTTTTCATGTAGCCTGACCTTGCTTGTAACGCCAGTTAGAGGTCTGCCTGCTCCCTGCCCCGTGCGTGGGGCTGAGACTGGTCCTGTCGTTCTCCTTTCAGTCCTCTGTTCCTTCCTTCCCTCTCCCACCCTCTCTGAAGCTCCGCAGAACATGCTATTAGTCAGGATAATTCTCCCAGAACATCGGCTTAATGTTAGCTGGTGTCCAGAGAGGTGTCACGTCAGGAGGTGCTAAAAGTGCACCCGAAACAGAACTGTGGTGACACTCGCCAGGCCGTGGTGCAGCTGAACGTCGGTGGTGAGCGAGGACCCACTGTTCCATGTTTTCCTCAACACAGTAATTCGGGACATTCCTTGACCTCACCAGCTGGCAGGTTTAAGATGGAAGCAGGTTTTTATCATATAATTAAAAAGTGAAACCTAAATTATTCTTGCCCCTACATTACTGATGGTCAGGAGGAAGCGACAGCGGAGGCGACCCCCTCGCTCTTCCCAAGGCCTTTGCCGCTGGTCGCTGGAGGAGGGACGCGCGACCGTGGGGGTCCTTGCCGTGCGCTGCCTCGTGCGATCCCACGCCTGCAGCCTTCCTCCGTGGCCCCA